CCACGCGCTCCCACGCCAGGCCACCGCTCACCATCGGCTCCGACGCGGGGGCCGAAATCTGCCCCGAGAGCTTGGCCGCCCCCGTGAGCGCAAAGAAGCCGCCCAGCAGGACGCGCAGGGCGGCCATCAGGAACGCCATGGCCGGCCGGCCCTCCAGCAGCCGGGGATTCCCGCGCAGGGCCAGCCCCGTCGATAGCCGCCCCCGCCGCAGGCTCAGGCTCATTTCTTTGCGAACCGAAGACCCGCGCGAGACGCCACCCCCGACCCGCGCCTTCCCAGGTCACCAACCCGCTTGCCCCAGAGCAGAGGCAGGAGGCCAGGGCTCCGGGGCGGGGCATCCCCATATCGCGGGTGGGGTCACTGAGGCCACCACTCGTAAGGACCACAGGCCCTTTCCAACTCATCAAGTGGTCCAGCAACATGGGGTGTGTGTTCTACACGAGTGCCCGATGGGGCTCGCAGAAGAACTCGGTTATGGCCAGAAGACTGAGTGTTGGTCCTGCCTCTGCCACAGCGGCCTGGAATCGGGTCACCCAACCCTATGGGCTTCAGAACTGCATCTGTGCACGGGGTAATGCCTTCTCCGTTCTCCAGTTTGCGACAGCCCCTGCACAATATTGGCTCAGCATGCCTTAGTGCTCTGAAGGTTATCTGTAAATTGGTAAATTAATGTACATAATTATTAGTTTTTGAAAAAAAAAAAAAGTGATTGTAAGTTTTCCTTTTCTCTTTGCCTGAAATCTTTTCCCTCTCATTTCTCGCAGCTCCTATAAAAGGTGAAAGGTGTTAACAAAGTCCAATACTTACCTGCGACCAGAGACGCTTTCACTGAGCAGAGCCCACCCCCCAAGCAGCTGCTCCTGGCCCATGGGCTCCAAGGGTCCACACTGGGCCAGTAGTCTGGTTTTATTTACTCTGTCCAGTCCCCCTAAAGTGACTACATTTTAAAAAATAATTATGTACTTAATTTTATTATTTTTTAATTTCAGCAGAGAGACAGAGAGAAAGGGAAAGTGACAAAGCAAGTCACCAGGTCCAGAACTCAAACCATGGTCAGCCATGTGGGACTCCAGCACCTTTAACCACCACGCCACCTATCAGCCGCCTGTCTACATTTTTTAGTAATTTTTAAAATTAGAGGCTGATAGGTGGCGTGGTTCGTTGACCTCACACATGGCCATTTGTGGTTTGAGTCCTGGACATGGCGGCTTGCTTTCTCACTTTCCCTCTCTCTCACTCTGTGTCATTCTGTCCCTCACTGCTCAAATTAAAACATAAATAAAGTTTAGTAAAATCATTCTTTAAAAATAGTCATTTTAAAAACTCTTTTTCTTTTTTTTGGAGAGGTTTTTCACTATAGGGCGCGTGCGCTCGCCAGACAGACAGAGTCATAGAGACAGAAAGTGAGAAATCACCCCCCGGGGGGATGGTCACACCACAATCCCTTCTCCTCCATTCTCCTTCTGGGATCTTGGGCATGCACGCACACATGCCTGGCTTGAGTTTAAGCCACTGGGTCCAAGACTCGAACTGCGGTCAACTACACAGAGTCCAGAGACAAAGCCATTACATTATCTGCTGGTCCCTAAAAACCTTTTTGAAAAGAAGCTTTCAAAATAAATGAAAACTGAAATGAATACTTCAGTGGTCATAAATAACAAGTTTCGCTGAAACACAAGCCACACACATTGTTTCTGCAGTCTGGCTGTTTTCTTACTGCAACTGAGTTGAGTAGCTGCCACCATGTAGCCTGCAAAGGCACAAATATTTACTGTCTGGCCCTTTACCTATAAAATTTGCCAAGCCCTGGTCTAATGAGCAGGGAGGCCCCAAGCAGGGGTTTCCAACTCCCTAACTGCTTCCATTTCCTGGTAGCCCGGATGATTGGCTCTCCTGTTTTCCACCTACTCACAATCTGCTGGGCTAGATGCCTGGCTGAAGACTGAAATGTCCCACGTGCTTCTCAAGGCTGTCTCAACAGCCAAGTGGCGCTGTTACGTTCTAACTGGGACTTTCACTACCTGCAATCTGTCACTAATCCAAATTTATCTATCGATAAAATAGCAAAATTCAGGCCAACAGGTGGCATGGTGGTTAAGGCACTGACCATGATTCTAGTCCCAGGGCCGGCAACGTGAAACTTACGCTGGGCATATGTGCATGCATGCCCAAAATCTCGAGAGGAAAATGGAGTAAAAGGGAGTGTGGTGTGGCTGTCCCCTACGGGATGATTTCTCACTTTCCCTCTCCGTGTCTGTCTCTCTCTGGCAGGTGTTCTATGGCAAAAACCTAAAAAAATAATAAGAAAAAATAAATTCTATACCTTGGATTATCAAAATTATACATAATTATATATGTGCATAATTATTAAGTTCCTCCACAAGAAGGGAAAAATTATTAAAACATTTAATCACTGAAAACACAAATCCACATTAGGAAATTATATTTTAGAATATTTATACAAAATTTAACACAAAATTATAGACTTTGATGATAGGCAATATGCATGCAGCTATTCTTTCTCCTTTACTAATTTTTCTATCCTTGGAATTAAAGATGTGACTGCAAGTCTTAGGGCAGGGCCAGTAGCCAACAGATTTCTTTGTTTCGACTCAGTCAAGGCTGAAAAGGTAGCATCACACAAGTAAATAGTTGAAAAAGGTAATAAAAATTTCATTGCCTTTTCATGGAGTTCTGGGTAACTTGTCTTTGCATTTATCCAAAACTGAGTCACAGATACTGATTTAAACACTGATTGTAACCCTAAATCTGAAGATAGCTGTGTTAGTTTTTCTTCTTCAAAGTCAGTGAGATTATTATTCTGGTGATTCGCGAAAGGATTAATTATCCACCGATTTCCTGCACGCAAGTCTTCTTCTGGAGGGTAACAGTCATGGAACATTTGAGAAAGTCCTTCCAGGTGCTTAACGATAATGCTTGTGATGCTTCTCACGTGTAAGTTTGATGAGTATGAGAATTCAGAAAATGACGGAAACATGTCAAAATCATTCTCTTGTGTGCGCTGCAGCCACACTTTTAACTTTGTCTTAAACACACTGACTTTATTATACAAATTGAAGAAAGTGGTCATACTTCCTTGGAGACTTAAATTTAGTTCATTTATAAGTGAAAATATATCCGATAAATAGGCCAGCTTTGCAATCCATTCCTCATCATGGAAATATCTAGCCAAATCGGAATGTTTTTGATTTAAAAAGATTTCAAGTTCATGTCGTAATTCAAACAATCTTGTTAAAATTCTCCCTCTTGATATCCAACGTACTTCAGCATGAAGTGGTAAATTTGCATGCTCAGATCCCATCTCTTCACACAAAATTGTCAACATGCGTGAATCCACTGCATTGCTCTTTATGAAACTTACAATTTGTGCTGACTGCAGAAGAAGTTCATGTAAGCATGGAGACAGTTGCTCTGCTGCTAAGTGCTCCCGGTGAATAACACAATGTGTAAATGCCACAGGATTCACCGTCACTTCTTCGATTTTTGCCCTTAAACCAGAATACCTACCAGTCATCCTTGCAGCTCCATCAGTACAGAGACCCACACAATGTTTCCAATCCAGAGATTTACTATCAACATATTTATTTATTAGTTCAAATATTTCAAAACCAGTCATTTGAGAAGGCATTTGAGTGCAAAATAACAATTCTTCCTTTACATCACTACAGTCATAATCAATGAAACGAACATAGCACAACAGGAGAGTGGAATCTGAGGTCTCTGAGGACTCATCGATCTGAAGGGCAAACCACTTCGACTCTCGGACCTTCTGAACCAACTGCTCTTCAATGTCCACAGACAGTTCCTCAATCCTATGTCCGATTACATTATTAGAAAGTGGAATGGTTTTCATTTTGTCTCCAGCACTTGAACCCAACACCTCTGAGCACAGTTCTACTAGATATGGTTTAATTAGTTCTTCAGCAATGGAGACTGGTTTCTTGCTGGCAGCAACTTGGAAAGCAATTAAGTAAGAAGCTTTCACAAGTGACTTTTCAACCAGAGACTTTTCAACTAGTAAACACTTTTTTAAAGAATTATTTTGATATTCCATTTCAAGAGATTTTTGTTCAAAAAAATCTACTGGTTTGTTTTCTAATTCTGAATGTTTTGTCTTCAAATGATGAGAAAGATTTGCTGGTTTCATATTTTCGCTGGATAAGATCTCTCCACAAATGACACACTGTGGCTGCGGTGAACTTTCTTTTGACCCAGGACAGATAATAAAACCAACTTTTAAATATTCCACATCATAAGTCTGGAAAAAACCTATTCTTTTTTTCTTTGCAGGTGGAGAATCAAGTTCTGCATCATTTTTCTCATTAGGTATGGGTAAATCTGAATGAAATATTTGAATCATTGTTATTTTCAAGAATAATCAATGTTCTTTTATGTTTTTCTACACAAGTTAAAATGTATACTTTGTTACTATTTTTATCTACCAAAAGAATACCCTGATTAAAATTTAAACACAAAGCATAATACCCCCATGATGTCATGAGAAACTGAGTTTCTCCTGGTCCAGAGCTTGGAACTGACATAACAAAACTGTAGACAGCAGTAGGAGTAATCCCAAGTACCCAACAGACCACTGGAATTAGAGTGGAAATCCACAGAGCCTATCAAATTAAGAAAACATTATTTTACTCTCAAGGAGTTCAGAAGAAAAAAAGGAAACAAATGTTGCAAAAAGTTAACATTTAGTGAAATTAGATAAAGGGTAGACTGGTGTTCACTATACTTATTTTCAATTTTCTGAATTTTGAAATTTTCCATATTAAAGCTGAAGCAAAGTATGAGGAGTGATGATTAAGTTTAATACCCATTTCTAGGGTTCAGAGAGATGGATCCACCTGAACCCTCCTGGTTGAGGCATCAATTATAAGTTTGGGGATGGGCAAGTTAGCAACTGGTACCCAAAGTTTTGAAAGTCTAGGACAGCCTTTAAATGAGTAATTCCACTGCTGAAGACTGTCTTCAGTACTTGCCTACAAACATGGACAAAGACCTATTAACACAGCTCACCTCAACATCGCCTATAATAGTGAAGATCTAATGCCAATCTTAGCAAATTAAAATAAATAAATAGGGGTTGCTTATGTTACATGTATCAGATCTACGTCTGTTGAAAATCTCAATGTTCTGTTAATTTATACTGATGTGGAATAATGTTTCCAATGCAATGTCAAATGACAAAGCAGTGAAGAGCAGTTCATAGAAAACCCCAATATTTAATCTAGAAACTTTAAAAACTATATAAACACACACAACACCCTCAC